CAGCGGTTGGGCGCCCAAGTTTCACCACGTCACAACTCGAACTGCTGGTTGCCTTTTCTCTCCACTTCGGCCACATCAGTAACGCGACAAATCCAATGCTCAAAAGGCTAAAGAAAGCGAGCCTCCTCTCCTTGCGCTCACCTCCCGAGACCAAAGCTATCGAAGTTCCTTCAAACACGACGATCCCCTTGGAACTCGTCTACAAAATAATCGATGACTATTGGCGTGTTCTGGTTTGCGAAAATGGAGACCTGGGCCTCAGAAGTCTCTCACATACCTGCCGCCCGTTATGGAACTACTGCAGGCCTTTCCTGCTTCACTCCGTAACACTCTATGGCCGTCACCAGCCACCACTGACTCTGGATCGGGTGGACGTGGTAACAAGACCTACAGCGTTCGCGAAGCTGGTTCGCACCTACCCAGAGATGGCGAACCATGTGAAAGAGCTAAGAATTGCGCTCTTCCAAGCACCCCTATCCAAGGAAGGCCAGTCGTTGAGGAAGATCGGGTTAGATTCCCCAGAGGATGATATTGTGCCATGGCGGAAGCTCCTCACCGCCACCTACTTGAGCCTCACAGCGCTTCACATTATACTCTCTTGGGAGACTGTCTCTCCCAAGATCCTCGAAACCCTTTTCACTGCCATCGAGGCCATGTCATGCCTCCAACATCTCCAAATCGAAGGCGCTGGTTTACCCATCCACGACCTGCCGGCGATCTGCCCACCATCGTTGAAAGAGCTTGCAATATACGGATCTTGCGGGTCGATCAGCCGTCACAACGGCTGGACGTTCCTCTCCCCCGCCCTCCTTGTCAGTTACTTACCTTGACGCTCGAAGTCGATGTTCCCACTTCCTGGTTCCCTTCCCTTCTCCTTACTGAACCTCCGTCGCACATCAGCGTCAAAAGTCTTCGACACCTGCAAAGTCAGTCGTACTACCTTAGTCAAGGCCTCATGAAGGTACATCAGGCGTGCTCGAGCTCGCTGCGATGTACTCACCTTGCCTTTGACCACCAGTTTGCAGGATACGTCGACGATGATGTCGGCGTCCTCAACCTCGGTGAGCTACCTGCTCTAACACACCTTGAGGTTCGCTACGCCCTGCTCTCGGCCTCACCTCGTCACTCTTCTTACATGGTTAGAAGCAACATTATCCACTCTTCGGAAGTTTCCATCACGCATCGCCAAATTCACCATCTGCCTCCTCCTCGAGACCCAGACCACGGAGCTTTGCCCGGATGTATACGATGCGCATATGAACACATGGCGCTCCGTGGTCGATAAAGGACATTGGCACCATCTCGAACTCGCAAAAACAGTTGGATTCTCGTTGCAAACCCGTCTTCGCACCTCGAAATTCCCTGAGCATCTTGCGAAAATGGTCGTTCCTAGGCCGCTCTCGCGCTTCTGCGGGCGTGGAAACGATGTGTCGTATGACGCCCTGTGGAAGGAGTGCTCATGCACAGGATGGAGGGTTTCAACGGCAAGTAAGGTACGCCACTATTCCTGCTCGTTCATCTTCTGCACGTGTTAACCTCATCATCCATTCTCAGTGGTAGGCAAGGCATCATCTTGAATTCCTTCATTCGTCGATTTGGGAAGCAGGTCGAAACAGCCCCATCTTTGAAGTGCTGTTACCAATGATCATCGACATGGACATCTGGCCTCACTCAAACTTCATGAACGTACTGCTCCGAGACGAGCAGTTTCTCGGCTTCTGCACCGTCTCCTGCGACACCAAGAGCTACCCTCGTCGTTAACTCGACTATAAACTATTCTACTATTCTTTTATTGCACTATTTCTAAACTGCAGAATCTCATGTGGTCGCGCGATGCAAAGCCGAGAAGTTCGTTCCAACGTTAGGCTGCGTGGATGAGCGGCTGGGTGAAGGGGAAGCACCGCAACTGGAAGACCTGAACCTGGCGATCGCTGGCCTTTGTAGGAGATCCTGGTTCCACGAGACATGGTCCATAAGCGACAGGCGGCATGTTGGGTGGGACAGGCACTGCCGGGATCTAAACGTCGATGACTACAAGTCTCTCTTGGGGGGCTGTATTTCCTCTGGCTGGCATGGAGATCTTGAGGAGGGAAGAATCTGGCTTTATTAGCTTGGCTCAGAACGATGAGCCCGTAAGTCGCTTCGCTCTTCCTTTTAAACAGTAATTGGATCGATCAACGCTGAGGGCTTACTTTGTACTATCTGTGACCTGGGCTAGGGTAGTAGAGACCAGGTGGTCTAAGTCTTAAGCAGCAGGGTTGTTGGAAAGGCGGGAGAACTAGAAAATGTCCACACGATGTTACCATATCCTGGATCGAATTAACTACGTACTACCCACATAAAATTCGCATTCTTGACCTCTTTCCAGAGCCTTCAACGTCACTGTTCAATGCTTCGATGATTCACATTGTGTTCTGCGATGACTCGGAGGGCTACCAGGATCGCTAGATGTGTATCACTTTTGATTGACATTTCGTACGTCTTTTCTCCGCACTCAACGTCGATGATCGCAAGGTCTTGATAACGGCTTGTTTCATTCCACTTGCAACGGCACCACTGTTTGTGGCGGCTAGGTAAGATTTGCGTCGATCTCTCCCGTCGACACAAGGGAATTGAATGATTTATCTTTCTCTCACAATAGATATCGTCGCTTCGACTCGCACACGTGGCTGCTCAAGTCCCTCTCATAGTCAAATCTCCTGCCCTGTTTTCCACTCACTCCGACAAGAGAAGACAACTGAGCGCTATAATTTGCCAGCAATGCTCAATCGACTCCTTAAACATCGCCATGAAACAGTGGACGGTGACTTGCAACCTCGTTTACCATTGGAGATCCTGTATAAGATCATCGACGACCATTGGGAGACGCTGCGGAGGGATGGTGGTCGTTTTGGGCTGCTTTGCCTCTCCCGAACATGCAAGGCGCTGGAGAGCTATTGCCGCCCGTTCCTGTATCGGAGACTTACGGTGTATAGGCGCGAACGGCGTCACACACTATTGGCTACGGGATTGGTGACCAGCCCCGAAGTGTTTGTAGTTCTGGCATCTCGTTCCCCAGAGGTTGCGGCCCTCGTTCTGGAGTTGCAAATTATACTCCCCAGCCTCCCTCCCAAACAAGGATCTCGTTTGAAGAAGATACTAGGTATCAGGCCACACCCAAGCTTGGACGCCTGGAAAGTTCTTCTCTCCAGCAACTTCTCAAACGTAATCAAGCTTGACCTGGTCAATAGCGGGCAAGAAGTTTTGACAGAGCCCACGCGGAGTTCCCTGACAAACGCGATCAGAGAATTGAAATCCTTGCAATCCTTCGTTTGGACAGCAAACTGTATCTCAGCGGACATGGTAGTACGCCTATCACCTAGAAGCCTCAAACATCTGTCCCTTCTCCCACGGAACGGCTACGTTCATCCACCACCTGCAACTTCGAATCCCGCCGACGTTGCTCACCTCGAAAGTCTGAGGCTTTCAAGAGTTCTCAACTTCCGCTGGTGGAGGTCGATGTTTATGAACGACGGCAAGAAATTCGACCTTTCTTCCCTCACTCACCTCCAGCTCAGCTTTCGGTTCTTCCACAACATCCTGTCTTATACTTATGCCTTATCGGTACTCACCAACCTACGCTGCTTGCATCTAGGACTAGCTGTCCTCAGCGGCACAATTGAATCTCATTCACTGGCGCTTCTGGTTCATCTGAAGCTGGTGGAACTCGTCATACCAAGTGGCAATTCGTACGAAGGCCTCCCATCGGCATTCGTATGGTTGGAAAGGGCCTTCAGGTACAGAACGCATACAACAGCGTCGTCGTTTCCGCCAGCAACCCACCAAATCCAAGTCATCATTCTGTTCCAATCAAACTCGGATTACTACTGCGACGATGACACTTGGAAGGATGAATATGTGTGTCAGGTCGAGCGCTGGAGGTCCACATTCGGCGGGGAGAAGCTTGCCCAGTTGGCAGAGCTGAACCTGGTGATTGCTGGCTTCTCGAGGAGATGGTGGTTCGGCAAGGCGTGGGCTCTACGAGAGAGAAGGCCTGTTTGGTGGGAAAGGCATTGGGATCCTGTCATCGACGACTACAAATCACGCGTGACGGCTTGTAGCTGCTCTGGCTGGGAGGGAGTGCTTGAAAGATCGAGCGTCTGGTCATATTAGCCTAGCTCGGATATACTGTGAGTCACCCGTCCCTTCAAGAAATCAAGTCAACTCACGCTGAGAACCTGGGCTGTGTGTCGGATAGGAGAGAGAGAATGATTGCAGCCAGTCGAGCGTCTGCCCAAGCCTTAGGAGGCACCTTGGCGGAGAAGGGGGGAGGAGAGGGTAAGTTGAAAGCACGCGACCAGAACCTGACTCAGTGTATGCACCACGTTGATTTTCCTTGACATGCTCTGAAATGAGGCCTTTATTACTGCTTGCGATATCTCTTATAGTTCCGATTTGTGACTGGAACATGATACTACTGCACCTTTGCATACAATATTCGAGCTGAAAGCCCCGGTTATGGGGTGGAAACCGTTGACGCCCAACATAGAAGTAGTGAAATTAAACTTAAGCGCAAGTTCGGAAATGGGCCAACCCGACGGTATGGGGCTTCTCATTGTGTGTGTGGTGATCAACGAGGCGGGCCCTTCACATCTTTCTCTTCACCTTCGGATTGACATGTAGGACGCCATTGCCCAGTTGGTTAAGGTGACGGAGCATCAATCTTATAATAATTGATGATGCATTCGTTGAGGTATGTTCGAATCTTGTGGAATAGATTCTCACCAGTCCAATGTACTTTTTTGGGCTCGCTGTCTCGAGAGACAGCCCTCCAGCTGCTTACTTCATATTTTTCGAGGCTGTGACTTGCGAATAGCACGCTGATCTGAACTTCTACCTCACTTGAGGCACCGTGCACCAGGTCAGCGGCGCGTTTGGAGACGGCTGTGATCCACCCCCATACCAGCTCAAACCTTCATGCAGAGATACAATGAAATTGACTGTTATTTATCCGTAAAATTGACACCATGGCCGAAGGGTTAAGGCGGTGAGTCAGAGTAGGAAATTGCTACGCTCATATTTGCGTCGTTTGTCTCGTTTATACAGGTTCGAGTCCTGCTGGGTGTCACTTTTCGGGTGGACGTATGCTCCGAATGTTTCTATACGCGGATAGCAGATTCCAATCATCATTATGAACTCTGGATAGAATCTTTGGCTTTTCGAAGGAGCTGGGTTGAAAAGAGGTGATTGGTACCTAAGCGCAGGAGGAAGGAAGCTGCTGCTGCTTGACGCGTGTTGGAAATAATGAAACAAGTTTGTTTGCAGCCCTGCATTATGCCCTTGAGGCGGGATTTGGTGCGTTCTATTATAGGTTCGACGCGCTCATCACTCCAAAAATCGAGGTGTGCATGAGGCGCGCTGTGCCTCCCTTTCGATTGATGACAAAAGCTGATGATAATCTAGAACTTTGAATATCATGTATGACGCTGTAGACCAATTGTAAAGGCAGCGGAATGTAATTGACATGACATGTCATATGGCGTATGTTTGATTCCGTTATGTACGTTCGGGTCCTACTTGTGTCAAAGCCGGAATAATTGACGTGGAATTTCTCGCGAATACTGTTTTACGCATTGGGAAGGAAGAGAAGTAAGAGGGTCTGTGGACGAGGTCATTTGGCATGCATGTTCTTTCAATTGTCTCGGACTGCTCGTGCAGCCTGGAGGTGGGTAGGAGGCGAAGGCGCGTCGTGGTCGACTCGAGGCATTTCTTTGTCCCGTAGATGGACATGTATAAGACTTGCTGGTGTAAGGAAGATGAGAAGACACTATTGCCTAACGGATAAGGCAGCGGAGCAGTTTGAAAATGGATAACACAGCATTGATTCTTCCCTTATGTAGGTTCGAGCCCTGCTGGTGTCCGTCATTGAGGAAAAAGTTCTCTGAACTGTTTTACCATCGAGGAATGATACGGATATTTACCGACACTTTACTACTCCTTCCGAAGGAAAGAACAATATCGAAACGAGAGGGAGCGTAGACACGGCTGAGCCTTCGAGGATGTGTGGAACGATGTGCAGATCGAAGCTTCTCATCAAGCGCATGTAGATCGATTTGGGACACGAGGCAGGCTCTTCGTATGCCTCCCGTCAGGTAGTAGTGCATTAATGATGTCAAGCTCTGAGAGACACCATAGCCTAACTGGTCAAGGCGACGTAGCTGCATGGCGTAACTGACTCTCAATATGTGACTCGTTGATGCAGGTTCGAGTCCTGCTGGTGTCTCTCTACTGTTATCCCATGCATTTTTCATTTATTTATTTCTTTAAAGAAATTTGCCAACTCTTTCGACTGCAACATGCTCCTTGCGAAATAACCGTGCCAAAGCATTCCGGTCAACGCCAAAGATAGACGTCCAACGAAAAGATCTGATCAATCTAATGCCCATTGAGATGGTGATGGTGCAGTGGGAACCTAACCGTAAGTGACTGGAATCTTTTGTCCCTTCCACTCATGTTGACGCGCGCTTAGCCTCAATAACCGTCCTCGCCCTTCACAGATTAGATTCCAGACCATTGAAGAGAAGGTGGACATCTGTGTAGAGCTGTTTCCAATTCCATCATGGTGAGTCCTGTTCATTTTGGATGGGGAATTTTTTGGGCGAGGTTCCTCGAAGTGAGATACGCGTATCGTGGAGAGAGTAGAGACTCTCTCTGCGAAGGAGGGAGCAGCGAATCCACATTGCTCAACCCAGAATGCTTGAATAGACACTAGAGCCACTCCCATCCTTCCCCATAGACCGTCTGCCAGACATGCGCAAGGACCGTCATCGAACACGGCCACACCGTTGTTTCATCGCGTCTCGCTGTGTTGGGGTTGGGCGTTATCGCCCTTTGGAGAGGTTTGGAATATGGCGAGGAAATACGCTAATGTATGGAACGCTTAGCGCACGCCCGAATGAGTGCGCCGTATGGGAATCGAAAGGAACGAGTCAAGATAGCAAACTATTGCAAACGGTGCGCGACCATTGGATTCACTCAAACTCACCCTGACGGTTCATATAACCCTCTCACCTTGCCCTGCACACACCGCCCCATCCCACAGCCTACAAGAAGATCGAATCCATCGCCAATGCCCTGTCTCTTTGAAATGGACCGACTCGCGCTGCGATATGTGGGACAGCACTACTCCTTGCCGAGCGCTTGAACAGCTTTCGACCAAAGCTCGAAAGTTGTTCAAGGCGTCAAACTGCAGATATGGCGGTGAAGAAGCTGTTGGACCAATTGAAGGTGAGCGTTACACTTTCGTTCGGTTCTGCTTGATCACACGGCTTTCGTTTCCTACCACCACGACCTCCCCATCGTTCTTGGCTCTCTTTTTCTTTACCATCGTTTCATTGGAGCCTTCTCGCTGCCTTGTGTTCTAGATGAATATCGGCGACAAAGATGCTGACCCTTGATCACCCACTATAGCCAGCACGCAGCACAGCGCTCACGCTTCCCGACTTTCGGAATGTGTATCTAAAGGATGAGATGGATCTCGCTGCGTTTACGAAAGGACGAGAACGGGAGGAGATGGAGTAGGTGGGAGCTGTTGAGCTTGGCGAAGGCGATGGGGAAGGCGCAGAAGATGGGGGTGAAGGTGAGTTTCGTCGTTGGTCTGATCATATCGGTCTGGGTGTCCGTGATTAATCCAGACGTCAAGGACAAAGCCCAAACAAAGTCCAAGTCGGCAAGAGGTAATGGCAAGACGACGAAAAAGGGCAAGTTGGCAAAGGGCAAAGGCAAAGGGACGGTCGTGGATGGTGCTGGGGAAGCTGGGAGACCGAAACGGAAACAGGGAGAGGACTAGTACACAAATGTGGATGGGGACGACGACGATGAGGAGGGACTTAATGCCAGCATTTTGGAGTAGGAGGAGCAGGGGGAGACGTAGAAAAGCGGAATATCGATCCTGTGCTCCTCACCCACTCTCAAGCACTTACCGGGGATGACTCCTTCGTCCCTGCCGTTGGTGAATCGGTCGCTGTAATCTTCAAAGGCCTAAGTTCTAGTACCAACCGAGCAACTTCAAATGACGCTTTCTGCTTGCAGGGAATTGGTCTAAGTCTTACTTCTCCTCCCAGAGAACAAAGATGTTACACAATTACACTAGTGAAGGCCCTCCAGTGTGGCTGCGTGCGATGCATAAGTTGAGAAGATCATTTCAATACGAGATTTCGTGGGCAAGAGGGTCCGAAGCATTTGCCTCTCTGGCGTTTAGGTTCACAGAGGGCGCGAACGCTGTTCAGGATTTGCGAAATTTCCTCCCCATAATGTGCCTGCAAGAAGGTGTTGGTCTGAAGACGATGATAGGCCTCCGGCCGAAGCCCAATCCACGGGTGGACATTTGGAAAGCGCTTATCTCGAGCGGATTCTCAAGCATCATCACACTCAAACTAGTCAACTTGAGTGGGTATGTCTTGCCAGAGCCGATAAAGACAACCATGCCCCACGCGATCGAGGAACTGAAATCCTTGCAGTTGTTCGAATGTACAGCTGCTCAGGTCGCAGTCGACATGCTGGTGCGCTTAACACCAAAGAACTTCAAACATCTTTCCCTTTGGCCGCTCTACGGTTATATTCAGCTACCTGGTACAACACACAGTATAGTATTTCTGTTTCTTGCGCTTATTTAGGAGCATCAACACCAGCTATCTCAGGCACGGGAGTGGATTGACGTTTCGTGCGCCTTTCCGCCGCGATCAAGGTGATTGAGCTCGAAGTCTTGGCCACGGGTTGTTCCATCTCACTTCCAACCCATACTGTGATCACCGTTGGTATTGACCAGGTAAGAGTTGTGATTATTTCATGTTTCAAGAGATGGGGAATGAATGACATCTCTTTCTATCGCACAATCGTCGCATAGACACGCACTGGGCTGAACTTTAACCCTCCGTCAAAGTCAAATCTCCCCCCTCCCCACCCCCATCCGACGACAACAAAGCACAGTGCCCTGCAGCTTTCCACTAATGCTCAATCGAATCTTTAAACATCGCCACCAAACAACCGACTTGCAGCCCCGTTTACCATTGGAGATCCTATATAAGATCATCGACGACCATTGGGAGACGCTACGGAGGGATAGTGGTTGCTTTGGACTGCTTAGCCTCTCTCGCACATGCAAGGCGCTGGAGAGCTATTGCCGCCCCTTCCTTTATCGGAGCTTAACGGTGTATGGACGCGAAAGGCGTGATGCACTCTTCCCTACGGGATTTGTCACCACCCCCGAAGCGTTTACCATTCTGTTATCCCGCTCCCTAGAGGTTGCAACGCTCGTTCAGGACTTGCGAGTTATCCTCCCCAGATTGCCTCCTAAAGAAGGCACTAGCTTGAAGAGGATGATTGGTATTAGACAAAGATTGGACGCCTGGCAGGTTCTCCTTTCCAGCAACTTTTCAGGCGTGACCAAGCTAAGCCTGGTTAACGGCGCTCGGGCCATGTTTACAGAGCCTATGAAGACTTCCCTTCCCAATGCGATCAAACAATTGGAATGTTTGCAGTCGTTCGTTTGGTCAGGAGACGAGATCCCAACAGACATGGTGGTACGCCTATCCCCCAGGAGCCTTAAACACCTGGCCCTTCTCCCGCGGATTGGTTACATTCATGCCCCGCTTGCCATTTATGCAGCGAATCCTGGAGACGTCGCTCACCTGGAAAGACTGCGACTATCAAGATATCTTGATCTACACTCGTGGGAAGCGATGTTCATGAACGACGGAAAGCCATTCGACCTTGCCTCCCTCACCCATCTCCAACTCAACTTCCGGTTCCTCCACTCCATCTTACCTTACTCTCAGAATATCTTATCCATGCTGACGAATCTTTGCTGTTTGCATCTTGGGCCAGTTTACACTCTCGAGGGCTCAGCCGAGTCCGGGTTGATGGTACATCTGACCCATCTCAAGTTGGTCGAACTCGTGATACCGAGCGGGAACTCATACGAGGGTCTCCGGTCGGCATTCGCGTGGCTGGAAAAAGCCTTTAGGCACAGAATTCATACATCATCGACGACAATGACATCGCATCCGCCAGCAATCTCCAAAATCCAGGTCGTCATCCTCTTCCAGTCAAACCTGCATGCCGCATATGCTTGGGAGGATGATTATGCGAATCAGGTTGAACGCTGGACGTCCACAGCCAGCAGTGATAAGCTCACCCAGCTCGAGGGGTTGAATCTTGTGGTCGCAGGTTTCTCGAGGAAGTCGTGGTTCGACAAGGCATGGGCTCTACGAGAGAGAAGGGCTGTTTGGTGGGAAAGGCATTGGGATCCTGTCATCGACGACTACAAATCACGCGTGACGGCTTGTAGCTGCTCTGGCTGGGAGGGAGTGCTTGATTAACGGAAGGAGGTGGGCGTATTAGCATCGCTCAAAGGTTCAAGCATTTCCAAGCCCATATGTGCTGTGAGTCTCTCATCTCTTTAATCAATGAAATTGACTAACGCTGAGGAACTAGAGCGTGTGTATGGGATAGGGTAGAGAAAAATGTCGCAGCGAGGCTAGAGTTTGGTATAAGCCTTAGGAGGCACCCTTGGCGGAAAACGCGGAAGGAGAGGAAATGTCGCCCTATATTAATAAATAAGTAGGCCCTGCAACGAGTTCCGTCTGTCTATTTGACCTCGAAATGCCACTGTGCAACGTAAGCTATTGCACGCGTGGTGTGCATGATGCACATCGTACATCGATGTATAAAAGTGTGAACCCCGACAACTTTGAAATTTGTCTGTCCATATTTCCCGTGGTCTCTCGCGTGCTTTTTCGCGTGCTTTGATCGATTCCCCCTGGCGGACCGAGACCGACGTTCTCCTCTGTTCAAGAGTCAACTTCAGTATACTTGGCCCTTGAACCGACCCCGTGTCAATGAAAATGAACCTGATAAGAGTGTGCTTCTGGTGTCCCTTTTGCATTAATGTTCAGAAGGGACTTGGAGGAAGCGGGAGAATATTGGATACTTACATCCACAACACGAGAGAAAAGTGAGGATAGGATGACTGAAACCATTGCTTGGTCGTTGTGATTTCCGATTCGCAGTGACTTTCCTTAACTGGATCGAATGCGAGCGTCTTAGCTATTCTGAAAACGGGATTATGGGGGGCGGGAAAGGCTTCTATTCCGGATGTATGCCAATTGATGGGTGATAGGACAGATGTGGACAAGATAGGACGATGTTACGATGCTTGGAAAAGATAATGCCAATTGAGGGAAGGGAGAATGAGGCCGTGCAGCTACAGTTATATGCCTCAGACAGGACCACGGCGGGGCCAAAGGCCCCGCGATGTGGTTGCGCGAATATCTGATTTATCCTGTTTCTTCTCAAATCTTTCCGGTCGCAGTAACTGCTAAGTTGTTCACTTTTATCCTGAATACGTCAAACACACCTCGCCCGTGCAAGGCACGGGCCATCGCCTAGTCCTTTTCAATCGATAACAAAAGTATATGATGACGGAGGAGTTTGAATACTGTGCGCGATACTGTGGATCAATGGTCAAGGCATCGAAGTACGTGTTTATTTGTACCAACTTGCTATTGCTTCGGTTATGTAGGTTCGAGTCCTACCAGTGTCGATCGAAGGGCTTAAGGCATACTTTTGTGATTGATCTTCTGCTTAGTATAGAGGAAACAAAGAAAGAGGGATTGGGGATGAGATAAAGGGATTCTTCCGATTGTATTAGACTGTTCGTGGAGCCTAGAGATCTGTAGGAGGCGAAGACGGGGGAGTAAAGCAGCTGAAAAGGCACTATGGCCTAACGGATAAGGCAGAGAAAGAAGTATGTACAAATTCCAATACGGTTACTTCGCTTCTGCAGGTTCCAATCCTGCTGGCGTCTACTTTCAGTGTTCCTAGTGAATTAAGGATCCGAGTTTTTGTATATACGTATGCGGATAGCGGATGCCAAACCATAGAATGTTCAGCTTCTCGAAGGAGCTGTACTAACGCTTCATGAAAGGGAGTCACGAGCCTAAAGAAGGATCGAAAAAAGCCTGTGGGGTCTCGTGCAACAGAAGATGTTGCGCTCTTCAGTGCAGCCGACCCTTCAAGGAGGTGCTTAACATCTGTGTGTATAATTAAACTGATATAGTGGCCTTATCGAACGCTATGTGTATCGTGCAGATCTTGGGTAAATATCTATTTAGCCTTTCCATCCAATTTTGGTGGCACCCTCAAGTTCAACAGCACTCAGTGACGCTTCCCGTTGACGGGATCAACGCCCTTGAGCTTCAAACAACGGCACGATAGAACTGCTTCCTCTTGGCCTGTACGATTGATACCATGGCCGAAGGGTTAAGGCAACGAGTCAGAGTGCTATGTAGTAGATTGGCCATGCTATTTGTCTATCGTTTATGCAGGTTCGACTCCTGTTGGTGTCGTGGCGGTAGTATTCCAGATTTTTGTATTTGGCCGAGAGCATCAGATTCTGATTCAATTATGGAGCCTGGATGGAAAATTTGGCTTTTGGGGTTATGGGCTTTGCGAATGGGTTATACGCGCTAAAAAGATGTGATTGACACCCAAATTGAAGTGAAGTGGCTTCTTTACGCATGTTAAACACAAGGCTCAACGATGGAGTGTTCCAGCCTTCACATCCAGCTACCTCTCTCACTCTGTGCTTTCGGCACGGGAGCCGGTGCGTTCTTTACGTTCGACAAAATCCTTAGGAGGTGCATGAGACACGCAGTGCATTATTTTCGATAGGCCACAGGAGCACATGATAGCGTAGGAATTTGAGCTTCATGCATGATACTGCCGTTGACTGGCCAAGGCAGCGAATGGAAAGGGACGTTGAGTCGGTTATCTAGCTTCGAATCGTACCAGTGTCAATGAAATTAGGGCCCAGGTTTTTTGTGAATCATAGTTACAAAGTGAAGCGGGATCGCGGAAGGCGCTCTTCAACGTGCATTTTTACTCCATTCACTGTGGACTCCGGGGGATACAAGGATAGAAAGATGTGTTGTAGTTGGCATGGGGAATTCACTTCTCGCATTGACAAATGTCCTTATGGATGTCAAGTGTCAAGACAAGAACGACACTATGGCCCAATGGATAAGGCAGCGGAAGAAGGTTGTAGAAGGTTAATTCGAATTCTCTTCCTTTGCTAATGTAGGTTCGAGTCCTACTGGTGTCCCTCCCGGTAGGAATAGCCCGTAAACATTTTTTCCTTTGAGAAATGACGAGGCTTCGAGGATGTGTGGACGGATGAGTGCTCAGCGCAACTCTCTCGTTTAGCGCACGCAGATTGATTTCAACTTGAAATCTGATTTGCGAGAAAAAATGCAGGCTTTGCACGTGCTATCAGTTAGTCTTTCTCGGATGGAAGTATGCATTTGTATGCCATCACAGCTAACTGGTCAAGGCAGCGGAGCTACACCATGTCGCCAAGGTGGCTATGTATCCTTCATGCAGGTTCGAGTCCTGTTGGTGTCGCTGTCAAGATATTCCGTAATTTTTAGGCATACTTTTCATTTTATTTCGTTTATTTCTGACACTGCGTGAGGTGAAGACTTTCACGATCTTTGACAGTAGTAGCATATTCAATACCCGAGTGTTTCAACGTGCTCCATAAATAGACGCCCAAGATAAGATGCGATCAATCTTATCTTCCTTGAGATGGAAATGATGTAGCGGGATCCTAACCCTAGGTGACTCGAATCTTTTGTCCCTTCCACTCATGTTGACGCGCGCTTAGCCTCAATAGTCCTTCTCGCCATTCACAGATTGAACATTAGACCCCTGAAGAGAAGTTATATATCGGTATAGAGGTGTTGCAGGGTTAAAAATGGTGAGTCTTTCTCAAATTGGAGGACAAATGGGTTGGGCGAGGTTTGCTCGAAACGAGAAACGCGTATATCATCGAGCGAATTGAAGCATTGAACGCGAAGGAGGAGCCCAGAGAAGCGATATCGCCCAAAAAAGAATGCTTGAACGGACGCTGACAATATCCCTATTCTCCGTAGACTGTCTGCCAAACATGCGCAGGGACCGTCATCGAATATGACCACGCCGCGGGAAACGGGTTCTGCGTTGCCTGTGGAACGGTCGTTGAAGAGAACCTAATTGTGAATGAAATCGAGTTTGGAGAGACGAGTAATGGAGCTGCGATGGTACAGGGGAGCTATGTCGCGCAGGGTGCCAGTGAGTGGTCGTTTCTATCTCTTTCTTTCATCGCATCTCGCTGTGGCGGAATTGAGCGTTATCGCCCTTTGGAGTGGTATTGGGATATGGACACAATGGATGCTGATATATAGAATGAACAGCGCATGCGAGGATGAGTGGGCCGTATGGGAATCGAGGGAACAACGAGTCGAGAGAACAAACGATTGCAAATGGTGCGTAACCCTTTCGTTCCTTCAAGCCCAGCCTCAAGATCCCCTCTCGCTCTTCACCTCGCTCTGTCAACATCGGCCAATCTCATTAGCCAACAAGAAGATCCAATCCATCGCCAATGCCCTGCGCCTCTCTGAAATGGTCCAACTCGCCGCAACCCGTCTCTACACCCTCGCCGTCGAGCACAAGTTTACCAAAGGCCGAAAAAGCCTAAACGTCGTCGCCGTATGCCTATACGTCGCATGTCGGCAAAAGGAAACCAAGACGTACATGTTGATCGACTTTTCGGATCTGTTGACTGTCAATGTATTCGAGGTGCGCTTTCTGTCGTTGACTTTGGTAGATATTGACAGGATGTGGCGTCTGTTAGCTGGGACACACCTATTTACAGCTTGTTCAGACGCTGAATCTACGACTTCCGCTTGTCGATCCGAGCCATTACATCTCTAGATTTGCGGCGTTGCTAGAGTTTGGAGACGAGACGGCCAAGGTGGCCACCGATGCTGTCAGGTTCGTCTGCCTATCTCATCTTCCCCACATCCTCCCGTCCTCCCATCCTCCTTCATGCGCTTGGTATCCTTCCGCCTCTGGACGGGCCACCATTCACGACCTACGACTCCCTCCTTATACTTCTTATAACCCCGCTCATCCTGCTCTCTCCACCCATTGCTAACTCCTCCCTCTCAGGCTCGTCCAACGTTTCGATAGAGACTGGATGACCCGCGGTCGTCGTCCAGCTGGGATATGCGGCGCAGCGCTCCTCCTCGCAGCACGCATGAACAACTTTCGACGTTCGGTCGAGGAGATTGTGCAGGTGGTCAAGATTGCGGATACGACGTTGAAAAAGCGGTTGGATGAGTTCAAAGTGAGTTTTGAGTTCTTCCCATGTCTGTTACCGCCTTTCTATGATTGGAGTTTTGCTCTTATCCACCGCCCATCATCTTCCATATTCTGTTTCAATTTCTCCACGGACGCAGAGGCTTTCGCTCGCTCTCCCCTTGTTCTTCGATTATGAACGAGGAACTAAGACTGACTTTGGACGCATAGGCTACGCCCAGTGGTTCGCTCACGCTTGCCGACTTTCGGAACGTGTGGTTGGAGGATGAGATGGATCCTCCTGCGTACACAAAGGGACGAGAGCGGGAGGAGAGGGAGAGGGAAGAGCGGGAGGCTGCTGAACTTGGCGAGGGGGGTGATGATGGCGAAGAGGTGGTAGATGGAGGTGAGTTTCATCGTCCTAGGTTGATCATATCGTTCTTGGTATGCTGACGCATGGCTGATCAAGGCGGGAAGGGCAAGGGCAAAGCCAAAGCTAAGACCAAGTCAACAAAAGGCAAGGGGAAGACGACGAAGAAGGGCAAGTCTGTCAAAGGCAAAGGAAAGGAGAAGGATCCCGATCTCGCTGGGGAAAGTGGGAGACGAAAACGAAAACGGGGAGAGGACTCAGATGAAGACGCGGATGGGGAGGACGATGACGATGACGAGGTGGGGCAGAGGAGGAGAGGGTTTGATGCGAGTCTCTTGGAGCAAGGTATCTTGGCTGGCGTTGCTGGGGCTGGAGGATCAGGGGAAGACGTTGAGATGCGGAATATTGATCCTGTGCTCCTCGCACAGTCTCAAGCTCACACAGGAGATGGACGAATAGCGGGTTCTTCGTCTTTGCCACTAGCCAATGGGAGCATGCCGCCCTCGTTGGGGACGTTCGTCAATGGTTCGCTTCCACCAGCGACTGGCTCGCCGTCTTCGTTCTCGATGATGCCTCCATCGTCGTCTGGTACACTCGTGGACCCTGCATCTTCACCCACCTTCCAACAACACAAGGCATTGCCGCAGCCATCGTCGTCACTACCAGATTCCCTTGTTGGTCCTTCATCGTCACTACAAGAATCTCTCGAAGCCTCCCTCTCTACAGCCCTCACGCAAGAGGTGGAGGGGTACCTGCACGACGCTCAGGCAGAGACACTCAGTCGAGCGTTGGATCAAGAAGAGGAACGGAGGAGGGCTGAGAGGGAGGAGAGGTGGAGAAGGGGAGAGGAGGCCCGGCGGAGGAGGGAGAGGGGCGCTGGGACTGGAGCTGGGATGGAGGTGGATGCTGAGAGCGCGATACCTGGAGCAGGGCGAGAAGAGGTTGGGATGGGACCAGCGCCTCCGCCCACAGTAGGACAAGGGGAAGCGCCGCCGCGACCAGAACGAGATGGAGCCGCACAACCGGCTGCAACAGGCAACGCTGGAGATGAGGAGATTGACGAGCTGACGGGTTTAGACGAATCGGAGCTTGACAAGTTTTTGCTCTCGCCTGCCGAGGTCAAGATCAAGGAGAGGGTTTGGGTAGAGTTGAACCGGGATTATTTGGAGGCGTTGGCTGGTGAGTGGTTTCCCATTTCTATCCCCTTGGTTTTGGTATGGCTCCGGTGCTCCTTTGGCTTTCTTGGTCCTTTCCCGCCTGTTGGATGGGGTCGCTCTCGAGGAGCGACGCATGCGTTGAGGAGGAGATGGGGCGTCGTTTCTTCCTCTGCGTTTATCATTCCATGCGTCGTCGTTCTTTTTCACGAGTCAAGTTTTCTGGGTGATGTTTACTGCCTTAGCCTTGTATCCGCATCGCCGATCGCGAGAAGTCGGTGGATGGGAAAGGGACACAAGTACTTCAGTGCTCCAATACCATGCTCTATTGCGTCGTCGATTACCTGACGGTCTGCGGTCCCTATAAAAAGCGCGTCTTGTATCGCAACGGGCGAGCCTGAAACCTACCTTTCCTTCTCGTCCGAGGATGGTCTTTTGGTCCATTCTTTCACCCCATACTACCTTTTGTTTTCCGCCACCGCGTCCTGACACATGACTGACTGGTTATTTTGCTTTTGATCGACAGCCAAAGGCGAGCAAGCCGAGACGGGTGCACAGGCCAAGAGTCGAAAGGTTCGTTTCTCGTTGATGTCAATTTCTTTTTCGTCATGTCGAAATCGATATGTTTTTGTTTTATTTTTCTTGATGCTTGGATGGCTTCATCCATTGCTCATTTACTCTTTCTTTTCCAAATTGGCGTCCTTTGACCGATTCTTCTCTCGAGCCATGTGTGCTGATCCACCGTTTCAGCGCCGAAAGACAAACAACAAACCACGCGACGCCTCGTCCGCTGCTGGTACCTCTGCGGCCGAATCCGTTCGGAATCTAATCAAGAAGAACCCGAAGTACTCGAAACGGATCAATTATGACGCCCTGAAAGATCTCTTTGTCGACCAACCTCAGAGTGGAATTCGAAATCCTGGGGTGCAGGTGGACGACAAGGACGAGGAGGATGGTGCGGGTTTGTATACCTTGGACGATGATAAAGCCGGCGACGACGTTGGAGTGGGAGGAGATGCAGCAGGAGGAGACGGGATGGTCATCATTGAGGAGGAGGCGAGTGTCGTTCAGTTACCTGAGAGGCCTGGTGCGAAGAAGACGGGTGCCGATGTGGGCATGGCGCATGGACATGAAGAAGATGAAGAAGATGAAGATGAAAAGGACGACGAGGATGGGGATGGGGATGTTCAGATGGATGGGGGGTGGGAGGAGGCTTGGGAGCAGGAGGTGTAGGTTTCTGTGGCGAGTGTTTTTGTTTTCTAGATGTTTTTCTAGGTGTTCTTGGTGGGTCCGGAGAAGTTTATGGGTTTGTAGAGAGCTTCCATCGCGTCACTTGTTGTTTTCTTTTTCCTTTCTTTCTTGTTGAACCGTTGTAATCATCCATTCTTGGGACTCGGGCTGTCCATTCTTTATCCAATTACGCCGTCCTGTTCTTCGTATCATAGCGAAACCAACTGTGTA